AAAAAAAAAGGTAACGCTCCCAATATCTTACTGCTCTTAATTGTATTCACATGTTTCACTGTTTTTAACCCTCCACACACGCTGTTGCACACTGTAGGTCAGCTGGCTGAAAGAAGATTTTGTACCTCTGCATTTTCTTTTGATTTGTGCACAACATGTGAGGAACGATGTACTTCTAAACTATAATAAAAAGATAGTCCTGGTTTTGATATTTAAGGAGTTTTAATCATGCCTACTTTAATCATCATTCTTTTCTTAATAATTTTAAAATACTCTAAACTACGGTTTCAAAGCCTCATCTCTAAATTAGGTGATTTTTTTTTTTCTTTGTATATTTAGCTGTAATTGAAAACATGATGTATGTAAAGTTAACATTGTAAATATTAGGGATAGACTGATAGAGTTTTATTAAAGCTGACTCTGATCTGGGTTTTTGACAGCGTATTTTAGCGGGGTGTTGCGCTAAAAAAAAAGCAATAGTTACGCTAAAAATCACACCCAGGGAAGATGTATGTTTTCAGATGGCAAACAGCTACAAAATATTTAGAGGAAATTATACAGCATGGCAACATATGCAAAAGAAAATAGCACTTGAAACACGTCATACTTCTACATTCTAAGCTGTTTTCTAAGATTTAACTACAATAACTGGCGTGTTTGTTGTTATGAAATGCAAGAATGATAAGAAAATAATGGGAAAGAAAAACTGCTGCTTCCCTTTCACTCTTAAAAGGCAAATTTAGCTTTTTTAATATTTCCAGATAGTCCATTCAATTAAAAAACAACAACGTTATTAATCCCAAAGGGAAATTAAATGTTGCACTAACTCATAGTGTTTTTTTATTTTTTATTTTATTGCTTTTTTTCTCTCCATCTAGTTGATGTAGGTGTCGATGGCAGCAAGGATCTCCTGTATCAGTCTGCCTCTTTCTGAAGAAGCGCTGTTGTTTAAACTCTTCTGAAGAGGATGCTCACTGTTGTCCATGATCTTCTTCACTTTATCAAGAAATTTCCTTTGTGTCACTTATGTTTAGATTTTTATTTATTCAAATGAATGTAAATAGAAGTGAACTGATTGCAGGTTTCTGGCCGATCACCGATTCCTGATCTTTAAAGTCTTATTTGCTGAGTTTTTATTTTATTTTATTTATTTATTTGCTTTTATTAATGATGCTGTCAGGACAGCTTTAATATCTCACTGGAAGACATTAATCAAAAACTGCCCCTTAAATATAAAATCAGACTTTAAAGCATTGACTGTGGGTGATATTTAAGACCTTTGCAGAGTTAGATAAAAGCAATGGACAAGATCAGATTCACATCTAATCATCTGATCACTGATCTCTTAAAATTAAGGAAAATCGAGGCCAATCAACATGTGATCCTTTAAATATCAGCTCAAATAAAAGGGCAGAACATATTAGTGAGTGGTTAGACTTGTGAAAATGATCAATATCGAAACAACCGGAAATTGACCTGTATCAGTTGATCACTATAAGGCATTGTCTAAAAATGTATTAGTTGCCTAAAAAAACACCTTAAAAAAAGCTATATTGGAACCTGAAGAGCTGTTGCTAATGAGCCACTTTTATATATATAAGATTACAAACAAAGTATTTTTGCAATGAATTAAATTGCTTAAGAATATTATTTTTGTTATTGTTGCAAGCAAAATTAAATCTGAATGGCTCAGAATGTCTGTAGGAGGCTTTACTTAGATCCAAGTTGAAAAAAATAAAAAAAGGAAAACAGACCTTTTTATTTAACTAAAGGCAGCACAAACCCTGACTAGTTATTGTTTTAGAGACCGTCAACTAGTTGGATTTACTGTTGGCTTTCTGTTTTGACTTAAAGCAGTTAGACCATCCTCTTTTTTTTAAGTGTGCCTTAAGCAGGCATTATGTCTGAGTAAGCAGCAGTTTTGTTTGATGTGACGCTGATGATCTGAAGCACTTGTGTAAACGGTTGTTCAACTGAGGCTTGCGGATTCTGAATCCTATCGGTGTTATTTTAGTCATAGTGACACATTTAGCTGCTTAAAACAGCTACGATATATTTGCACTTCTCAAAGTAGATCATCCCCTGGATCCGCGGCGCTCTCAGGGGGGGATGCAACGCTTTTTGAGCTCTGTCAAGTCGTTCCTCACTGCAACGACTTTTCTGGCCTTGCCTCGGATCTTTAACCCTGAATGACCTTGAGGAAGGAAGGAGGAAAGGCAAACGCCATGTGATTCTTGTCGTCCCGTGTTCTCACAGAAGTCAGCGGTCCCTGCTAAAAAAATATATCAAACAGGTCAATAAATCCTGCTCAAAGGAAACCACTTGTTTGATTTAGCTGAAGTTCTGTTTTAAATATTTTATCCAAGCTGAGATCCTTTGTAATATCATAAAATCAAATAAATCCATCTAATGGACTTTAATCTCCATGTTGATTATTAGGTGTTTTAAATATGCTAGTAATTATCCATAGAGCAGATAATTGATCTGTTTAGTTTCATTCAGAAATTTAAACTCATTTATCTATTTGTTGCAAAGAAAAGTTGAGTGGAAGGAAAAACTTGGATTTTATAAATTCTCTATAAATTACATGTATTTATATAAAATGTCTTGCAAACGGTGTACCTATTGTCTAGCAATAAAAGCCAAGCCTTTGTGACTTTGCAACATTGAGCTCCTGAACTGAAGCTTTTCATAAAGTACCGTTTGGCATACATTTGAACTAATAGCATTAACTGTTAGCCTCAGCTGACTGGAGATTTTCTTCTTTTTTTTTTGTTCCCTTTGTTTAAAGCTCAGTTTATCCCCTCACAGTCGCCCCATCTAAAAACAGAAGGGAGTTTTTTTTGGTAGCATGTCACCAGATTAATTTAGGCATGCAGTGCATTCACCTGGCTTTAGACACGTCAGCCGGCCCCTTTAGAGAACTGTGTTTTAGATGTGTATCTGTTAATGTTCCTTTTATATTGTTCCCCTTTTATCTCAGATTTAGCTTTAAGTGTCTCCCCAGCCTCTGGCCTGCATATCCTTCTATGTGATCCGATTCAGACCCTGAGAGGTTATAAGCGTTCTCCATCTGTGCGAAGCCCACCGACTGCAGCGTCAGCCCCTACGCTGCTAAGCTTCTTAGACTGTTTGCCTGTTTTCCTTTAATTGAAGCCTCTGTCGGGAGTCTGTGGTACTCTTGGCTCCTACTCGTATGAATCCTGTTGAGCTGTCAGCTGAAACACCTCTAAATATCAGTTTGTGCCACAAGAATCATTCTTCTTATATTTCCCTTTGTGCAACCATTACCTTTGGCCTTCCCTTTCAGGCCATACCTGTTTATCTAATACTTTTTCACCTTGTTTCCAGCTTATAAGCACTCCTCTGTTTGTGTTGCCTGAAGCTTCTTTCTCTCATTGCTTTTTAAACTGGTTTTTCAGGGTTGTTCTGCGGTCAGACTGCTGAAATGACAAAGCTGTGACGGTGGACATCCAAGAGTCTCTCTGCTGGCCCAATTCGACTGTCATGGCTGCTGCTAAGAAGAGTGAGTTTCTGTTGTTTTTTAATAAGTATGCCCTTCATAGGCTGTTCAAGTTGCATGCATACGTTTCTGCTTTTGTTAGGCACAGAAACAGCTGCTCATATGGAGAGCCAGGTCCCTGTCTGACATCAAATGAGACTAAACCTCTCCTGTTTTATCTGAGTTTGGATTTCTTTTTTTTTATTCAAAAAGCTTGGATAACGAGACAGAAACTCATCCCATTTCTCTTGACTTGGGTCAAAAATGTTGGGTCTCCTGGATAAGGCTTCCCACAGCCCTATGTTGAGGACCCAACCATTAATTCCCAGACCGACGTTCTTTTTTTAATGACGCCATCTTGCTTTGTAAAGTGCACCAGTCCCTCGTGCAGCTAGACGCTCAGACTCTTTCTGCCACCCCTTCACATAGGATTAGGGTTTGGCACTGTTTGAATTTGAACAATTCTATGTTTTTAATTCCCGTTCGAATCGTTTCTCGATTCTTTTTATCAAAAGAATCATAAAAGTTTACATGTTATAAATTAGCTCGCTAACCATTGTTCTGACTGGATGAAACAGTTCACAATGAAAATTAAATTCCTTGAACATCTAACTTTCTCAAAACTTTACTATTAGTTATCACAGTTATATATAAATATGAAATCTATGAACTAAATAATAATCTTATAAATTTTCTTTACATTTCCTTATGGAGCTTTATGCTTAAAACCTCTTTAAAATCCATTCACATATATCCAGTGTCTGATGCTCCAGGTTCTTATGTTGTATCAGTCAATTAATATTATTTTATGTACCTGATTCAGTCAATGCTTTCTGATGCAGTGCTAGGCTGAGTGTCTGAGCTGGTGGTGAAAGCCGCGCAGCAAGAAGCTATCCTGACAGTTTATATCCTCAGCGTCACTTACTGCATCTCAGTCCCAATTCACTAGCCGTAGAAGTAGGGATATTTTACTATTGTGGACAGAGGAGTGATCAGATTCTGTACTCAGTTGTTCCGTTAGGTCTTTTTATCATATAAAACTGATTCAAAATGAGCCAAAATAAACAATGGATGAAGTTGTGTGTAAAATTATTCATAAGTTTAGCAAAGGACAAAGGACATTTCTATCCAGAGTGAATGGAAAACTAGGCGGGTATCTGTTAAGACGTAAAGTAGGAGGAAGAAATAATAAAAAAAGACTCTGCTTTCCCTGCAGAAGCTGTGCTGGGATTTATGAGAGGGAACAGATTCCCTCAGGGAGCCTACCTTACACCACTGGTGCAGCCTTTGTATTAATAACCCCGTCACCAGTGTTGCCGGTTATTGAACGGTCATTTCCTTATTTAACATTAAGCCACACTTTGGAATGTTGAATCACAAATGGATGATTCCACACACAGTGCTGTGGGTTCTTCTTTACCGATATAGGGCAGCTTCTATTTCTGGTCATCGAAAATAGGAATCAAAAATAAAAAGATTTAACGATTCTGCAAGAATTATAAGGTTAGACCCTGTTCCGATTGATTGTCGATGCCTAACCCTAGTTAGGGTGGGTTAAAGTCGTAGGGTAGTCATATTTAAATGTCAGATCATTGTACTCTTAAATAGACTATACTGTCCCAAAAGTTAGAAAATGTCCATTTAAAGAAAAAAATCCTGTCTTAAAATCTGTGTTTTGTTTTTTTTCATTATCTTATGCAGGCCAGTTAGTTAGACGTCAGCTTGTACACCTAAAAGCGGCCAATCATATATCAATGGTCATCTGTCAATCAATTTTTTTCAGTCATGGCATCTTGATTCATATGTCGCAGCTAATATACGCAATGGTTGAAATAAGAAATAAGAATAATTTACTTTCCCATTGAGTTCCATCCCAGTGTTCACAGGGATGGACGTCTGTGTCTTCAGCAGGCATAGAGCTAACAGAACCTGCAGCGTTGCGAGGCAAGGGCTCAAACATGTACGGCTGTAAGCCTTCTACACCAAACCAAGTTTCTGCCGCCCTGGCGTCCTCTTCCACAACATCTTTGTCCCCCCTTTCCTCCTCTAAATAAAAAAATGTATGACGGAGGAGACTCATCCACAGCCTCCGACACAGATCTCTCCTCCTCTTGCATGTTTCCGCTGTCCATAGCGTTCCTTAACAGTGTCGTTGCTAAGTGCTACTTGGTCCCAATGTCATTTCCCATTGGGAACCTACTAGCACTAAGTTGCTAACTGGTTAGCAAGATGCTTAAGACAAACCGGCCACAACCAAACATGTTTGCAGACCTTCCACCACAACAATCCCACCCCTTGATAAATGACCAATCACATTCACTTTGTTCACTCGTTTAAAGTCGTGCACCACTCGGGAGAATTTGGAAATGCTGTTTCATTTTGACTTAAACAAGGTTTGGAAGTGTGCCCTGTGCTCCTCCAAATGTCACCATGGTAACAGGGCATGTTTCCTTCTATCAAGCACGTTGTCTCATAGTTACTTTTTAAAAGATATCCTCACTGATTCCTTTAGATTTTTTCCCTCCTTATCACTAAAGGAAGCACTCTGCCTTCTTATGTGGAAGTGTTTATTAGTATGGAGTAAATTTTAAAATAAAGTGACTTTATTTTACTCAGATAACCAGAAGCTTCATCAACTGGACTTCATAAACCTCCTTTAAAGAAAATAAGAAAAAAATCCTCATTATTCTGGGACTTACAAAAAGAAGAAGTTTGTTCAGCTGAAGTACCTCAAACTGGAAGGTTTAGTCAGATTTAATGTGATGGAGAAAAACCTGACCTGATTTTTTAGATTTATTATTAGTTTTAAATATTTAACTCTATATTTTAGTGTTTTTCTTAGAAGGAAAACTGATGTTACAACAAAAGAACTGCATTTCTTAGAATACCAGAACTCGCATCAACAAGCCCAGTTTGCTTTCTAAGAACAGCCCAGAGGTGTGGAGGTTCACTACCTGCAACTGCAGGTTCACAGGTTGATTGCAACATATCATATCATTTACAGCTAAGCTTGTTGCTAAGATAAGATTTTTATGGTCTAGTTTTGATTTTATTCATTATTTCCACCTCGTGAAGTTTTTTAAAGATCAAGGAGAAAACTGGTCCTCCGTGGTAAACAGGACTATGAGCTTTTATTTATTAGAAACTGCAACCAAAAACACAGAATTAAGCTTTTTATATATTTGACTGGTGAGAAGGGAAATGAATGAAGCCAGTTTGAAGCCATTTAGTAGGTTTTATATCAAATGTAGGTCAGACTATTTCTTGATGCCTCACAACCTTTTGCTTTAATGTTTCTAAGTCGCCAAATGTGTTTTCCTCAAATGCCTATGGTTTTAGAGCAAAATGAACATATTTATATAAATACACAAATAAAACTTCATAAAACCTCCGTCCCCATTAGAGGTTATAAAACTTTCAGTCTGGTTTGCCGCTTTACGCATCACAAAACAGCTGCACTGTAGACTAATGCTGTAGATCGTTTCTATGCACTTCTCCACTTCTAATTTTCTTGAAATTCTGTCATTTATTATAAGAAAACATTTTCTCTATCAGCTTTACATTAAATGTAGGGTATTTAATTAAATATATATATATATATTTCTGTTTCTATATGCTGTTTTGTAGAGCTAGAAAAAAAACAACCCTGCCCCATTTCCAGAACAAAGACGCTACCTGATTGTTTGAGAATGACACCAGACCTGCTTGAATCTACCAATTAGTTTTTTGTTTTTTTACTTTTAAATGACATGTTTTAGTGAAGTATACTTTTTTTCTTCCATTGAATTCCTTTATTAAGAGTTTAAAAAATGACTTATTGTTTTATTTTGACGTTATGCCTTGCCATTGGTACGTTTTGATGAAACACGTGATAAATGTTATGACCAAAGGCTATTTGATATGCTGAAGGGCTCCTACAATGGAAATCAGTACTTTTGTTTGATCAGATTCCCTTTTAATGTGGTGAAAAACAGTTTTGGCACACTTTTGGCTTATGTGGCTAAATTGTGCTAAAATGCCAGCTCCACCTGGCACATTGCCTTATCAAACCTATTTGGAACAAATGTGTTTGAACTGATCCAGCCCTAATTTCCTGCAGCTACAGAATCTAAGGCTTCTTCCAGCTTTTCTAGGAAGTTGTTAGGTGAGGCTGAACATTTTTTGCTTTTTATTCCAATTTTCCATAAAGTTCAATCATATAAATCAGATATAGTGAAAATTCTAATAGTAGTTCCAATGGAAGAACATTTTACACCTCAAAGGTACCAAAAGTTTGCATTTAAACCTCATAGCGTACTTGATTTATTTCAGCTGTTTGTTTTAAAGTGGAAATTGCACCAAAGAAACCCTCCAGGCTAAGCAGAGCATGTTCTTCGGCATGCTGTGGTGTGTGTGTCCCTCCAAACAAGACTTCTTTCTCCTTTCTCTCAACAATGGATTTCTTTCATTTGTGGTTGTATCATGCAAAACTTTTATAATTGAGTGAGGCAGGGTATCAACAAAAAACCCTGCAGATACAGGATGATCCACTGAACTATTAAGCCTTTACCATGTCCTTTAGCAAGCCTTTACTGGATTTTTCTTTCACTGTTTCTGAAAGAGGCGACCTTCATGTGGAAATTAATGGCAATGTGAAAGGCCCGGCGTATAAACAAGCGAAGGAGTAGTGAAAAGTCTATGAAAAAAATGAAAGAATTCAAAGAAAGACCAGAATAAAACCTTTTCAGGTTCATTTATAAATTCTGACTTTAACATCTAGTGAAAGAAAATGATAAGAGTAATGAAGAGATTAGTTTGCTTTTAGCCCTCGCAAAGCATCTGCTGGTTGCTTTCTGTTACACCTTAGCTTTGTGATGTTCATTTACCAAAGCCTCATGTCCTGGAATTTAGATACCTCTGTAATATTTGCACCCCTGTAATAATAACCCTGGGTAATTTTTATGCCTTCTGTTTCCAGCTGTAAAAACCTTTGGAAAATGCATTTAAATCAGCCTAATGACATATGGGGAAATTGTGAAGAAAAC